GATTTAAACTGGTTTCTGAACACTTAAATAGGTTTGTGTGTAATGTCTGTCCCTAGCCTAGAAGTAAGCTTGACAAATCTCATGGGCTTTCTTGTGGTTCCAGGCATTAATAAGCACTTGGTTTGAATTTTGGTCTAAACACAAGAAAAGGTGCTTTCTCTAATTAAACTGATTTTATTACAGACAATGTAAAATGTATAAAGCCCAGATATACTTGAGATATTTTCCCAGGCTTTTTGAGACTTTGTGCCTAATCACTAAGTTTGACCTGTAGGATATGCTGTATATTTGCATCTATTTAGCTAAGCATTTGCTTGAATACAAACAAGATATAAAAATTATCTGTAAGCACCTCTCTGTGGGGGAGAGAGTTTCCGAGTGCTGCATTCCATTGTCTTGTTGCTGCAAGTACCAGCTTCTGGGAACGAGGGATTGTCTATAACAATATCTGCTGTTGCCTATTCTTAGAGAATAATTTCTTTGGTTTAATTATATTTTGAGGTAGAAAAAAATGAATCTAGAGGCTACACCCTGTGACATCAAAGGAGATTGGATTCATGCAAACAGAGGGCAGACAAAAAAACCCCAGCAAATATCTGTCTTGACAGAGGCTTATTTTGCTATCTTTATCTAAATGTGACATTTTTCACACATTTAGAAAGATGTTCCCTAAGACAAGGAAATTAAGATAATTACACTATGTGTAGTATTCCTCATCATAAAACATAAATTCTGAAATATGCATAAATCCAATCAGAAGGCATCTTTTCATCATACCTCTAATGTTTTTATACATTTTGGTGATGCAAGGCTCATGAAGCTACAGTCACCTGGTTTCAGTTTAGTCTGAATGATCCAGTCATATTAACATCTGGTGTCTTGAACCCTCCTGTTACATATGGAACAATATTTTTTCCTTTCAATCAGTGGAAAAAAAACTACTTATGTCTTGATGTTACTATTAGTGATTGTTTTTCTTCAACAGGTGAGTGAGCTTACAGGAACTTGAGTGTTTCACCTTTTTTTTACTTTACACTAACATTACCTGGTCCTCGAGCAACTGACATTCAAAAAAGTCAAGTGCAATTACAGCAATTTTAGACACAAACTCGCTATTTGTCCAGCTCTCCAGTTAATTAGCCATGATAACCGCATGTACATAGCAGGTTACCAAATATGTACGTTTTTCTCCATGTCTGATTATTGGGAAAAATCGGGCCCTAAACAAAAAAAGAAAAAAAAAAAGTGTCTCTATTTCACTGGTCCACTGTAGAAAAATAAGGTATGTTCTTAAAAGAATAGCTATATATTTTGTAAAAATCTTTTGCACATACAGACATCCTTTCAGAGTACTTGTTACTAGAATTCTGATTCAGGGCTGTGGATACATTTTAGCCAGCTAGATAATTTAAGTTCTAATAATATGAACTGTAATCTTGGTAATGAGAACTCCTTGTGCTTTCCGGAGCAACTTGATCATCTATAGGGTCATTAAGAATCTCTGTCCTTCCCTCATTTACAGCATAAACACTCTAGGCACTGCTGGAGTCAGGAAGGTGGACTCCATTAAATCCTAATGGTCAGATCTGTTAAAACCAATTCCTCATTTCTATTTGAGTTCTCTGTGCAGTAGCGAAATCATCTCTGCTTTATAACTTGCCAGGGAGGGAGGGAAGAGAGACAGAGAAAAGAAATTTGACTTAGGATATCCCCTTTAACATATTTCATCAAAAGAATGGATGAAATATTTATTTGGCTACTGTCCTTTGCCTTCCCATCAAAGTGAATAGGCAGACATTTAATAACACATGGAAACATTAAAGAAGATTTTTATCAGGATGTATAAGAACCTGCTCAGAACAAACACTTTGGCCTAAGGGAGACTTTTTGATCTGTGGAGTTGAAGCTTTTGGTGTTTTAAACACTCTTGTACTTGGGTCATGTGGTCAATTTGCATGGAATAAGTGATTTGCTTAAAACTTGTAAAAAAAACCCTTATAAAACAGAACTTGACAAGTCATTAGTGGTAAATGGTCTAGCTCTGGGATTATATTAAATAACACTGTAGCAATCATTATAACTCTGTTGGTATAACAAAGGACAGCAAGGTAACAGGGCTGTCCTGTACATTGACCTATAGGTACTAGATCTGTACCCCAGGAGATAGATTTTTATCATGCAGCACAAAATTACCAACCATCCTTCCTAATTACTGACCTACTCAACATGCTGAGCAGTTCCCTTTTATCATCCCTTACAAAAAGCAATTAGTTCAAATTGTATAATTTATCACTTCAAGATAGGCATAGTAGTTCAGTGCAGGGGTAGGGGGGTAGAGGAAGGAGGAAACAGACTTAAACTTCTGTCCAGTACTTTCATTGAACCTTTTTTGAAAGTAGGAAAAATTGAGCTTCTTTTCCCAATTCTGTACTCATTTTTCAACTACTGATACTTTTGGACTTCACCTTGGAGTAGATCTGCAAATCATAAAATCCTGTAGTGTTGGAAACACTAATCTCATGCTATTTCTGACCTGGCTGGAAACTATGTATTTAACTGGTTTGCTTCCTTGATATGACAAGCATGATTACTAAACCCTTGATGTCTACAAAAACGTGGAATTCCTAACCTATGTCCTTCCTTAATGTAACTGGTACAAAGCTAAAGCAACCCTATCTAAGAATATTAATAATATCCTTTTGAGTTTTTACTGAAAGAATAGCATTCTTATGAAACCTACAATGCCATCATTTTGTTAATGGTTTGGGAATAATAACCAAGTTTTGTGCAGTTCCACATGATATTTTCTATAAATTATTATATGAATTAAATTGCATATTTACAAATAACTGGCATTTAGCAACACCACCACCAAAAGAGCATTAAAACACAATGTTGTCTTCAAAGCAGCATGTTTTTTATGCACACTGTCCTTCATCTATGTGGGGGCATTTCGTATAGGGATAACAACAGTAACTCATTCTCCAGTGCTTATGCAGTTTTTAGCTTAGACTTATGAGTCTTCCAACTAGTGTGGTTTGGAGTTTATGATGGGCAGCTGAGAGAAACCAACTTGTCACATCTTAAGTACCAGTGAACATCTAGCTGCTGGAATAACTTTTACCCCCAAGTATACTGGGCTGTGGTTATATGCTGTAGTTTATTAGGCCCTTAAGCTTCCAGTCCACTAGTTACAGCTCCTAAGAACTGAGCTGTAAAATCTGTAACTGCTAAAGTTACAGCACCTTAAGTCATAGCAATGAATGGTTGCTGTTGACTAGTTAAAAGGGGTGTACACCTATTAGGATTATAACTAATTAATTATACCAAATGAAAGACACTAAACCAAAGGTGATTATGCAACATTATAAGTAATATCAAATGAGACAATGGTCAGGGGAACAGACTGCTAACTAGGGGTGTGTGAAGCGGGCTCTATTTGATTTGGATTCGGCCCAAGTCAGAGATAGTGATTCAATCTGTTGATTCAGATCACTGTCCCTGATTCAATTTGGCCAAATCCAAATCTGAAGATTCAGTGCTGATTCAGAGAACCAGTGATTCGGACACAGACACAACTTTAAAAGTTATTTTACATACCTTGGGGTAGCAGGCATGGCTCATGATCGCGCCATGCTGGGGCATATGGAGCATCCCACAGGAGTGCGGGGTACTTCCAGTCCACTTCTGGGTCTGCTGGGGAGCATGGAGGGCCCCCAAACCCATCTCTCAGCTCGGCAATCAGCCCTAGGGGGGCCCTGGGTGCCCCCCCCAGACCAAGGAGGCACCAGTTGCAGAGCCAGGGGGGTGGGCAGCGGGGCCCCCTGCGTGCTCCCCGGCAGACCTGGAAGCAGACCAGAAGTGCTTTTGGTCCACTTCTGGGTCTGCTGGTGTGTGCTGGGGAGCCCCCCGTGCTTTTGTGGAATGCTCCATGTGCCCCAGCATCGCAGTATTCACGAGCCCTTGCTACTTAGAGGTATGTAGAAAAAACATTTAAAGCTGTCTCTATGTCCAAATCTCCAAATCTTTCTGAATCTGTCCAAATTGATTCAGAGGGTTCTGATTCAATCTGGAGAGATTAAAGGGTCCTCTGGTTTGATTTGAATTCGGAGATTTGGCCACTGAGTCGGGCCAAGTCTCCACTGAATCAAATCAGGGACCGAAGCTTTGCGCAGCCCTACTGCTAACCCACAGAACAGAAAATAACTAAAATATAAATAATAGGGAAGGAAAATAGATTGTCTGGTTTATAAATTTGTTGAAAATAAATTAGGTTTGAGAACTAGTCTGAAAGAACATAGTAGCTGCACACAGACAGTAGATTTATACAACATTCAAGTTGTAATCCTATGCTGCCAGTTAGTAAAGCTATTTCAATAGGCAGTAGAGATCAGAATCTAGTTAATGTTTACAGTGTATGACCCACTTGGTGCTGGCTAATTAAGAATACTCCTGGAGGATAAAAAATACAATATTTTTCAAACAACGTTTCAAACAGTTCATAATAAGTGGACTTGAGGGAACAACTGAAGATCATTTGTTTGACAGAAGAAAATATGCTTTTACTATAGATGCAGGGTCATGAATATGTAACCTTTTATTACAGTATTACTCTTCTGAGTTTTTACAGTCTAATGAACTGTGGGAATGTCAAAATGTGTGTTCAACTTGAGTCACCCTGTCTGTCCTACTTTAAAATGTCTGTTTATAATAAATTGTTGCATTTGTTAAGATATGCATTTTGCTCCCATGATGTCTGGAAGATATGCACAAATTTTATGTGAAATGCAATATTTTAGTCAGGAACAATTCTGAATCTGTTTTAAAAACCTGAGTTTAATAGCAGTTTTATATTCCAGTCAATGAGCTTATACTTCAAGCTATGAATAATACAAGTTGTGGGGGAGGGGAAGGCAGCGATTACAAATCAGTGATTAAATAATAAAGAATAATGATAATATTCATTTTCTGCACCATTTAACTCATTGTTTTATGTGCAGGACCTCGTCTACTTCTAGAACAAAGTCCAAGAAAGATACCTGCTGTTGTTGGAGGCAAGTTTGAGTCTTTTTTCATTTACTGAATTCTGTTATAGATTTGATCCTGCTTTCCCACGGGCTTCATGGAGCAAAGCTAGGCCAATAGGTATAAAACCACTGAGATGCTTAAAAGTTTTGCAGATTTGTACAATTGGATCTCAGTGGTTACATTCATGAACAGGACCACTGGATCTCAAGGAGGACAAAACAGTCTTTGTGCATGGCTCAGAATGGCTTTAGATCCAATATACTGTTTGGGTATCACAGTGGGTAAGTATTAAGCTCCTTGTTGTAAAGGTGGATTCAGTTTGACCATGTTATATACCTAGGATCCCAAGTTGGCAATAGAGAGATTTCAGAGATGGACCAGGTGCCATTCAGTTTTCAGTGCTTAAGCATTACACAGATAATAGTGAATAATATTATATATGCCTCTAAGAAAGCTTGGAGGTACCTAGGTGTAGCTAATAAGAAACACTGGGCATGTCTACATGAGATGCTATAGCATGTTAATACACTGCTGCACAGTATTGTTAGGCTACTCTTCAGTAGCATCACCTGAAAGATATTCATCGGCGCTACTGCGCAGTAACTGGTTACTGTGCATTTATTTAGTACTTGCTAATACAAGTATTAAATAAATGTTCAGTAATGACTGTGCAGTACCATCTCCGCTGAACACTTACCCCTCTCAGGAGCTGATGTGCCTGACTCATGCTGACTGACCATATCGGACATGGAAAACTTACTGTGCCTGCCAAGAAGGTCCTCAAGCATGCTGTACTGTTCCTTGTGGGCTGTCTCCTATATCAGAGGTAATAAATCTATGGCCCTTGGGCAAGATCTGGCCATGGAGCTAGTCCATCTCATCTGCTTGGCTGCTACTGAATTAGAGGATTTGGAGGTATGGGTATCATGGTGGGGCCTGCCATGGAAATGGGGTCCCATTGGACATAGGTAGTGGCAACAGGCAAGCAAGCGAGAGCTGTGCTGAAACATCCAACTCACTCCAAAGCCACTCGGCCACAGTCACACCATACCTTCCACTGCAAAAAATAGCCTCTTGGCTTACAGTTGCTTGTCCAGCTGCCTCTGACCCCTGCTGCCACTGGCCCCACCACAGCTGTTGCTTGCCCTGTGCATCCAATGCATAAAGAACCCAAAGGTCCAGATATGATCTGGAGCCTGGCATAAGCTTGTCACCACATCCTATACCATAAGCACAGTGTAGCTTTATCTGGGCTAAGTGGTACTGTTACCACAAAGCTGCACAACTTTCTTAAGAAGACAGCTGTTGGGCACAGGAACTTTCCCACATATACAGAGCTTCTGTTTACTTGTGATTCCTAATGCCTTCCTTGTCTTGTTACTGAGAAAAACTTCCTAATGGCTAATGCTCATCTTTTCTGCAAGACCCTTTGTCCAGGAAGTATGAGACTAGATTATAGGCCTTTTTCAGCCTGAAGGGATTTGCGCCCATATCTTCCACTACCCAGGACACTGCTAAGTAAAGGCACACCCCATTCCTTCTTTTTGAAGGTGGGCCACTGGGCAACCAAACCTGGAAGAGGCATGGGGCCAACAAGAACAGAGACATGCTTGTGTGGCTCAGAGAGGAGCCACTTTCTGGTAGGAGGGAACCCTGGGTTCCTGCCAGATTTCTGACTTTTTGTTTTGTTTTGTTTTTAACCCTAAAAACTCAATAACTGTCTACTATTAAATACATGAAGTAGTCCTGGTAGCAGGGCACTTAAATCTACAGTTCTTGTATTCTTCACTGCCCAGTGGCCTAGCTTCAACAGTAGGGGTGGAGAATGCCCTTATCTAGCATATTCAAGGTGGTTAGGGCATTCTTCTTGGAATGGAAGATGTGGGTTTGAATCTAGTCAAAGTGAAAAGAGCGTAGCACTCAGCTCCCCCATTTCATTGCTAAATCATGTAGCCAGTAGGCCACTAGACAAAACTTAGGAATTCCTATCACCACCTGAAATACAATGCTGCTGATGTGAGTAAATAATGCTTTGTGTTCAACTATTGATGGAGGCCTCTTTGGGCCTTTCTTGGTGTTTAGGTAAGTCAGAGAAACATTTTGATCACTTCTGAGCATGTGCTTTAGCATGGGGAACTCTGCAGTCCAAAAACAGGTTTCTATCAAATTCACTTGCCTTATGATTTTTGCAGCTGTCACTGCAGGCCCAATTTAAATTGTTTTTTGGGACTTAGGCACCTAAACACTTCCTGTCCCATTTTGGTACAACTTTGAACCCTGACCTAAGCGCTTTGGAGATTTCAGAGTACAACGAGTTACATACAGGTGAACTGTAAGCATAATCATTATCACCAGTGTTAAATTGCTCTGGGATGGATTACAATTTCAGGAATACTATTTAGGAATATTACTATATATTTCATTATAACGTAATGGCAAATAATATTTCTGGCTCTACATTAATCAACTACCTCCCCAAAGTACAAAACCCATTAAGTGAAAGATACCAAGTCAGCCCTCCCCTAAAAAGATCTTTAATTGTTCTGTCATTGCCTTATATAATTTACTGGTCCAATAACAATGCTAGTAACATTGCTGTAATATTAATTTTTATTTTAAAACAGGAATGTGTTCAATCATTTTAAACATATTCCTATAGCATATATTTTCTCCCTCCATACCATACAGATCCTTTTTTTCATCCACTTCTAATTATTAGGTATAGCCTATGAAACTAGTAAACTACATGTCATTCTTTTCTGGTGTCTTGCATTGCAGTCTAAAACTGACAAAGCAGCAAAAATATAACAAGATCCATAAAGTACTGTGCAGTCATTCAGTCACAATGTGGCATGTCCTGATAATCTCGCATAGTAGGCTTAGTTTATATCATCTAAAAGATAGTCATAATGTAAGATAAAAATAGATGGGACTGAAATCTCATCACTTACAATGAATGCAGTGGCACTTTCCCTAACTTTGACAAACAGAAAATTAAAAAGGGATTTCTGCAGAGCCTATGGCTAGAACAAAGAGTTAAACTTAATTAGATCGTTATTTATAATGCTATGATTAGTGTCAATCAAAATAATTGGACAAAAAGAGTCAAGAAAAAGGTTATCTTATTCCCCAAATTTGGGTGATGTTTTCTCTATAAATACACTGTTCCATTGTTTGACAAGAGAATAAATCTGTGGTTGAGAGACACACTATAGTATATAAATAAATTGCAGCCCTGCCTGTTTGAACCCTGCTAATCAGCAAAAAGAAGTTTTTACAATGTTAAGCACTGTTATCCACCAATTAACCATAATGGGGAAAAAAAAAGACATAATGGAAAAAGGCTGCTCCATTTGTTAAGCGATGTTTAATCTTAAAATTATAATAGTTGTACAATACAATCTACTGTCAAATTAATGTTCCTGTTATTCAAAATGAAGGAGCATGTCAGAAGCACTGCAATTCCATATGGAAATGACCATTTATGACCAGTTTCCTATATATCATTAGAACATTACTGCATGTAATTGAAGTAGTTGGGAAGGTATATTAGGTAACCATTTGGCAAACACAAATCAGGGTAATTTCTTGGTAAAGTCACCCAACTAAACTTCCAGGCAATGCAGATTCCAGATGTTGAAAACAGAGATCTTGGTGCTCATGGGAATTTACAGAGGAATGTAAATAGTGGCAAATTATCCAGTTGTTACCCATTACCAGGAGAGAGAGAGAGAGAGAGAGAGACTAAAGAGCAGAATGGCAGATTAAAACACAGTGGTGAATTATCTCATAGATTAATTCAGCAGAGTTACTTGTAATATGGAAAGCAGGTATTCACTAATCAGTCACATAAAGAGGAACAACTAGGCAGTTTATTTAGAAAAAAGTACTTGCAATAAAATTCATATATGGATCAGATAAGGAAATGCAATAACCAAATGAGAGGAACATTTCATTTTCCAAGGATGAAAAACTGGTTAACAGAAACAAGAAAGAGCAGGATCAACAGAATCATCTTTAGCACAGAAAGAGGTTAATCAAAGATACGAGTACAATGGTTCAAAAATACTAAAAATCCTGAACCAAAATTAGGTGAGTTGTTGTTCAAGGTTTGAAAATTGTAAATGTTAAGCTAAGGACTGCACCAGAAAAAGGGAATGTATCCATTCTTTATCTGCTGGGAGGAAATTTGTTTTATTTCTTCCCTCCACTGAGGTGTCCCCCTTTCTGCCAGTGACCTTTCATGTGATCTTAGCCAAGCTTTGTCTTCAGCGAGCTCCGGTGACCTTTGTTTTTTGTTTTTAAAAAAGGATGCAGATACCAGTCTTTATGAAGTGCATTGTTGTATTCAGATGAAAAGCTCTACCTGGATTAGATCCAGTGTGCCTTGGGAAAGATGCACCATTTACTTCAATGTACTTTAGAAATCCAAAATATTTTTATTATGTATTAAGCTCTTCCTTCTCCACCTCTCGCTGTCATTCTCTGTCCTTCCATCGTACCTGTTCTTGCAAGTCTTCTTAGGGAATCAGGTTTGATATTGCTGCTCTGTATAGCATCTTTAAGGGTGGGTGCATTAACCTACTCAAGAGGTTCTCAGCTGGGCACCGTGAGGCTCTTTGCATTGCTGGTGCTGTTGCTGTCACTATGACCAAGTGAAACTGGCCTGTTCACTTCTTTTCTGGAGAGGCATGTGATGCTGGATAGGGAAGCACTTGTGGCTGTGGGTATTCCTGCCTACATTAGGTTTTGCTCTCCTTCCTTCCCTATTTTACTCCCCTCCCCTATTGTTTGGCAGTTTGTAAATAAAAAACACAGGCTGCAGCCCACAGGGGAGACTCTTTGGGTGTAGGGCACAGCCATGTTTGGCTTCTACAAAACCTGTATTTCCTGTTTACAAACTACCAGACAATGTGGGAGGGGTATCTGTTCTATCACAACTGCTCCTCTGTCTGGCTTTGCATTCATGCTTCTCCTGGAAACAGGCGCATAAGGCAGTTTCACTTGGTGGTGGCAGCTAAAACTT